AATTTAGCCTACACAGAGGCATTATCGCTGGAACTATCCTCAATGTCGTCCTCCTGGACCAGCTTCCCGAAGCGAACTACCTTCTCCACATGCATGCCGGAGAAGTCGAATCCTGGTGCAAGGAGCCTGGCCTGGCGAGCAGCCTTGAGGAAGCCCCTCTTATGCTCTACCACGATGGAGCGCTCGACCTCCTCAAGTCTCCTCTACAATGCCGCCTTCGCGGCCTCCAGCGACGAAAGGTCTACTCTCTGGGCATCAATCTCCTGCTCTTTGTTGCCAATAATAACCTCGTCGCGGAGACGCTCCTCGGTTACCGACACTAGCTTGCCCTTCAAAAATGCGACCTCATCTTCCAGAGAGCGAACCTGCTTCCGAGAAGACATCATCTCATCCCGGGACGAGGTAACCAGCTTCTGCAGCTCGGTTCCCTGCATCTTCGCTTCACCGAGGGCAGCAGTCAGAACCCCATTCTCCCCTTTCAGGACTTTATTCTCATCCTTCAGAGACTGAACAAGGCTTTTCAGCTTCGCCATGTCCTCCTGCTGCCTCGACCACTTGTGTTTCCAGTAATCCACAATGGTCGTTCCTCGCTGAAGGAAGATCTGGGCAGCATCAAAACTTCCCACTGGCCCGGCCGACTCGATTATCACCTGATCGGTCGTGCTCAACGACCCCCTCAGAAAGAACTTTTCCGGAGTCACCGCGGCGCTCCACAGAGAGTCAACCTCCTCCGACGCACTCAAGTGCTCCAGCCGCATGGGCGCGCCCTCTTGCGCATAACGATACGCTAGGTACGGCCGCTTCGGCCTGGGGACCAGACCAGGGGTAGGGAACCCGGGGCTCGATCCCTCCCTACGAACCTCGGCAGAAGAAGGCGCAGATACCCCAGTGCCACTTCCCGCCTGCAAAAAGCAAGAGCACTCTTCTAAGAACAAAAGTATACAGAAGGGTAGAACGCCACATACCACATAAGGACTAACAGCCTACCTCGCCAACAGGAGCAACAGGTATTGCACCCTGGACCACTTCCCCGGCGACATCCCCCGCCTATGGACAACAACCTCAAGTCAAAAATGACGAAAATAGAAACAAGCCTAAGAAAAGAAAAATACTCACCGCGGCAACCCGCCCAACAGCCCGAGCCAGCACCTCGCCGGGTTGAACGACTGGCTCAACAGCTGGCGCCACCTCTTCGGCAGCCACACGATTGACCCCCTCCGACCGCGGACTCCTAGCAAGGTCCACCACCCCAGCTTCTACAACCTGGGAAGCAACCTCCCCTGTCTCATGAGGGGCAGAGGTCCCCCCGATCTCTCCCCCACCCCCCCTTTCGCTTTCGGTTGACTTTCAGAGGGGAAACTTCCTCCTCTAGAGGCTCGGAAACCCCGAGCTCGGTCACGTCGAAGCTGGGCTTCAGCTTGAGCCACAAGTCTTTTCCTATAAGGCCTACAGACAGAAAATAAGGCACGTCAGCAAAGAAAGACTACACGAACCTCAACAAAATACCAAGATGAAAAACACTCACTCTCCAAGCCCCTTTCCCTATGCGCCGAATTCTCGAGCGACAGGATGAGTTTACAGTCCAGCGGCCGGGGAAGTGCCTTAAGACCCTCAATGGCGGCTACCTCCAGAGCCGTCAGCTGCGAAGGGTCCACCCCGTGAAACCCGGACGGGTCGCGGCACCAATAAAAAGGAAATCTTGGCAAACCGCCGAAGTGGAACACCTCATCCTCCAGAGGGTCGACGCCGACAAGGGAAACCCGGAAGAATCCCTGCCTGTAATTCTTGTAAGACTGGGAGTACAAGGTGAATAAGCCCCCATCTCTACCCCCGTTCAAAGAAAGAACGCCATAAGGCGGAGCACCCGCCTTCAACTGATAGAAGTGGAGAAAGACCCGAAGGGACACCTCTATCCCTAGAACCACACACAAGACTTGAAACGCCCTTAAGAAACCCCAACTGTTGGGATGCAGCTGGCTAGGAGCCACGTTGACGTAATTCAGAAAATCACACTCAAACTGAGTAAAAGGAAGACGGACACCCAAGTCCCTGAAAAAACACTGGTAAACGTAGAAATGAGGAGGGTCGGTAGGGCTCCCCATGTACACGCCCTCACCAGCCGGACAAGGCTCCAACCGAATCTTCCGAGAAATAGAGGGGTCACAAATTCTGTGTGTTCTCCAAACCGCGTTGACCTCTAAAACCGATTTGAACACACTCCCGACCTTAGCCATCTCACGCTTAACCCAGGCGTACCCAGGAATGCCTAGCTCCAAGTTCTCAGACGGAGGCGGGTCCGCCCTCTTTTCGGCGGCGGCCTTCCCGGTAGCCACCGCCTTTCCACGCGCCTTGCCCCGAGAAGGCGCAGAAGGACCGACACCACTTCCCCCAGCCATGGAAAAGACGAGAAAGACTCGAAGAAGGTCGGGGAAGAAGGAAATTGTAGAAAGGAAACACCTGGTACTCTCCCTCAGAAATTAAGCCTAACAACGAAGGGGTTACCGGAAATGGCGGCGGAAACGGAGAAGACGGAGACAGAAGACAAGCAGAAAAGCGAGAGCAACGGCGTGCACAAGAAGCCACAAGAATGGAAAAGAGCAAAGTGAAAAAGGCCAAGAGGCGCGAGTGAAAGAAAAGAAAAAACTCTCCCCCAGAATTTCAAAACGGTCACGACACGTGTCACTCAAGGGACACGCCTGACCACGCATTAAATGAGACCCCTTATGACAGAGGAAGCCATCATTGCATAACTGTCATGACCACTAACGCGCGTTTCGAAATACGAAACAACTTTTGCACGCGTGGCATCTTGACAAGCAGACATACGCGAAGGGTCACTTCCCCCTGGCGAGCTCGGTCTTAACTCCTCGACCTACGGTCTTCGGAGCTCGGGGGGCTAGTGTACTGACCGTACCGTGAAGCCGAGCTCCAAGCTCAGCATCACAGTACCAGATGATCTTGGGCACGCGTCATACGACGTCAGCTCGGCATCACAGTGCCAGGTGATCTCGGGCACGCGTCATACGATGTCAGCTCGACATTCAAGTGAATCACAACTGATTCCCGAGAATCTCGCCCATACGAGATCCATTATCTAATCACTGATTACCGAAGATCTCGCCCCAGACGAAATCCGCTATCATATCTTATCACAGCCCCAAAGCCCAAGGCAACCCTAATTCACTCCAAGGTACATGCATTACTTATACGAGACTATTACTCATACAAACCCTAACTTTAGCATCGAAGACTCTTTTGCAGGTACCACCCCCATCTTGGAACATCAAGCGTACCAGCGAAGGAGGCTCACCAATCTTACTTGAAAGATCGTCCCTACGACAAATTCCGGTAAGAATAAAATGTAACAGGAGAAAAAATAGTGTCGCACATCACATATTAAACACGTTTTTCTATTAGTAGTTAATTATATAATATAAAAATAATGATTCAATATTATATTAATAAAGATAAAAATTAATTTAAAAAGTTTCATAAAAATAAAAAAAATAATTATTAAGATATAAATGAGTTATATAAACCATGGACAGTCTGTGATCAAATTCAAATTCAATTTTTTCATATTTTATATTATTTTATTTAGACTTGTGTTAAAGACGAAGAATATAATTCACAGTCTCATCAAAACTTTTTAAAGAGATTAATGTTTGACTGATATGATTATATTTTATACTAATTTAAACTTTTTGATATAAAAAATAAGCTAAATTTATGGTTAATTATTTTTTAACAAGATAAATTAAAGTTTTAAATCATGTTGAATTAAATAAATGATTGAAGTTTGGTTAATTAATTATTTTAGCAAATCAAACTTAAATTTCAAGAATTTTGCTCAACTCGACTCGTTTCGACCTGTTTTTATACTTAACGTACCTAATCTCATCCTAAACTACCAAGCAAATCAATGGACGTCGACGTCGTATTATTAACCTGTTAAAAAAGAAGTGTGATATAAAAAGTGGTCAAACGTAGGGGGTGAGGTGGTCTTCCAATCTTTTCTCTTTTCTACCTTTTCTAAATGTCTGATTAGAAAAATTTAAAACTATCATGTCAATGTCCCATTCAAATAAGGATATTATACTAAAAAAAAGGATATTATTTCTATCTCATATGATAATTTGACACATCATCCACACGTAATGGGCGATGTCACATCAATAATTTTTTTATGCAATTTGTTACATACAACGTAACCTTACAAAGGATTGAGTTATAATAGCAATTTTTAAGTCAATTTATAGTGTGTTTGGAGTAACGGTGGAGCTTGCAAAGCCCACGTCCACGTAATTTAAAAAAAATTTGCTCTTCAATTGAAATAGCATTTTAAAATCAAAATTATTATTAAAATTTCTTTCGATTAAAAAAGAAGATGAAATTTTTGTATAGCATCAAGAATTTTATATTATTTTCATCGTATAAATTTACTTAAGAAATACAACATTTTAAACACTAAATATTTCATATTACTTAAAAAAATCAGTTTATAAAGTTAAGATTATTTAGAATGAAATTTACAAGCCCTTAAATAAAACACTCTATTTGTCTACAGAAATTTAAACTAATGCCATGTTTATGTAAATGAGGCGTAAGGTAAGAAGTAATCACAAATTATAAAGTAAAAAACAGGAGTGAATGATAATTAACAAATGTTTGAGGCTCAAGAATTAGACATGATTTGATTAGTGTAATAGGTAACCCTTGTGGCCCACAGTAAATACCGGATGAGGAAATGTTTCAATAAATAATGCGAATTTGGATAAGCACAGCGAACAGTAAGGAGAACATGACCATCAATGTTGACCACTACTCTGCATCGCACACAATATGCACCTTACCAGGGTCAACGGTCAAGGTTAAAAAGTGTAGAAATCAAACGGTGATGACCTCGGGTGCAGGAAAGGTAGTTTGTTACGTGGTAGCAGATTCCATGATCCTATTTTTTAGTAATTATTACGGGAATGTGTTGGAGAATAGAGAGATCATATAAGCTTGTCAGCATAATATTATTGCAGCTAAGAGAGAAAGAGAACGAAGACAGTGATGGCAATGGAAACAATGGGAGAGAGTCCACGAAGCCCAGAAGCCAAGTTGGGGATGCGAGTGGGGGATTTGTGGGATATTCAGGAATCTCAGCTAAGTCCTACGGAGAAACTCAACGCTTGTTTTGAAAGCATCCCTGTTTCTGCTTTTCCTTTGTCTCCTTCAAACCAAGGTAGTGAATTATAAGTTTTATAAACATACATGTTCAGATTATTGAATTTCCAAGAAAAAAAAGTGATTTTGATTATACCCAGATGAAAATTGACACTGAATTTGATAAATGTAATTTTAGGCTGAAAGCTATTTGATCAATTTATGGCGTGTCCTTTGGTTTAAAGTGTGGATTTTTTTATTTTGCTTTCAGAGGTTGAGATAAAATCAGACGCGACCCTTGCTGAAGCCGTTAAGATTCTGGCACAACACAACGTTTTCAGCGCACCTGTGGTGGATGTTGATGCGTGTGAAGATGCCAGTTGGATGGACAGATACATCGGAATTGTTGAGTTTGCTGGAATTGTTGTGTGGATTTTGCATCAGGTTTGACATATATCATATATGTTACACTTGCACATAAATTCAATTACTCATACACGGGCAGTGATTTTAGAAATAAGAAAAGGGGTGGGAGTTACATGATCCACGATCATCGTAGTTTTGATAAAATGTAATTAAATGTTTTTTGATAATTTTTTTATTATATATTACATAAAGATTGATTCAACCATAGATACATGATGATCGGAACTTGGAATTATTTTTTGAGTGGGAGGAGCACACATACGAATCTGAAATTTCTATCATTTTTTGTATTTTCTGCTTTATTTAATTCAAAACATGTCCTGTAATATCTTTTGTAATAATTTTCTAAAAATCATGGTTGTCAACATGTAACGAGAATACATAAAGTAAGAGAAGTATAAGTAATTTTTTAATTAAGTAGAGAATAAGGGTAATTAATGCTAAACTTAAAGAGGTGTTAATGTTACTATGTTAGTGTAGTTATATCTTAAAATTGATACCATGATATACCTGGTGTTGGGGTTTGAAGTCATTTACTTTGATGCCTCATTTTCACACTAAACCAATGTGATGATATTCTTGACAGTCTGAACCTACATCTCCTAGGAGTCCATCTACTCCATCCAGTGCAAAGGCTATTGCAGCTGCAGCTAATGGAGCGAATTTTGCAATGGAACTTGAAGCCTTAGGCCTAGGATCTGCTGCAACAACTTCAGGAAACTTTTTTGAGGATCTCACTTCTTCTGAACTTTATAAGAATACCAAGGTTATATATCTGCCTATACAATGTCAACCTAAAAGAGTTTTTCTTTTAAATGATTTTTGTTCTAGCTATTTACATCGTTTAATTACTCTTATTTATTTATTTCACCAGCTAACCTTTTAGCAAACAGGTTGGTGATATTTCAGGGACATTCCGCTGGGCCCCATTTCTTGCTTTAGAGAAATCAAACTCATTCCTAACTATGCTCTTGCTGCTTTCTAAATACAAGATGAAGAGTGTGCCTGTGTTGGATTTAGGCTCTGGTAGAATTGATAACATCATTACACAATCTGCTGTGATTCATATGCTGGCAGAATGTGCTGGACTTCATTGGTTTGAGAGTTGGGGAACAAAGAAACTATCTGAAGTTGGTCTTCCCCTGGTGAAAGGAAATCATATCATCAAGGTGTGGTCCTATCTTAAGTAGGTGTTCTGCATCAAATGATTGGAATCGGCTTATATTAGCATCAAACCTTTATAAACAATTAGGTCACACCTTATCACAATGCACCTATCACAACATCAAATAGGTTTAAAGTTTATTTGAATACAGGGAGAACTTTTGATGGCTTCTCTTCTGAAAATTATGAGTTTTTTCCGGTTGATAAGCTGTTAAAATCATTGCTAAATTTAGTATAATGCTAAACTATACTGGACAAACAAAATTATCGTGACGGTGCATTATACCAACATAATCCTTCTTACCATATCTATGGCAAAAGTAACTACAATCCATTAATCCTCTAACCCTCACCAATACGTGATTGCCTGCATGTATTGATAAGGACAATTTAATGCATTCCATGAACTACACTTAAGATTGTATAATTCAAGCTCTTCACTGCATTGAACAGTGTCATCTATTAATGCACCATAATTTTAGGGTGTACGGGTAAAATCTATCCTGCAAATCTTAAATTTGTACACATGTATGTCAAATGCTCAGAACTTGAACAAGTACTTTATTTCATTTTTACTTTTCAAGTAAGCTTGTTGATCTTGATGAACTTCACAATGGACTATTTATTTGTTTTTTAGGTTTATGAGGATGAACCTGTTCTTCAAGCATTTAAAATAATGAGGAAAAAGAGGGTTGGAGGGGTGCCTGTAATAGAAAGAGATAGCCAAAGGACAGTTGGTAATATAAGCTTGCGAGATGTTCAATTCTTGCTAAATGCACCAGAAATATATCATGATTATAGGTATGTCTTCACATTGAATCTGACAGAATGGGGTTGTTTAGATTACATTTCCCATATCTTCTTTGTTTTGTTCTATCTGTTTCATCACTCATTAAATATTCACTCTATAACAGAGCTATTACAGTAAAGGACTTTCTGACTGCCGTTAGAAGCCACTTGGAGGAGAATACAAAAGCACACCCAATGTTAACTGAATTTGTTACATGCAAAGAGGACTGTACAATCAAAGAATTGATTCAACTGCTTGATCAAGAGAAGATTCACAGGGTCTATGTGGTGGACGATGAAGGAGATTTGCAAGGACTAATCACACTAAGAGATATCATCTCAAGGCTAGTACATGAACCACGTGGCTACTTTGGTGATTTCTTTGATGGTGTTCTACCGCTACCTGCAAACACGAGAGTTTAACAGGCAAGGACTCAAGGGAGAATAACCTGCTGGTGCAGCAGTTTTTTTTTTTTTTCTTAAATAAATTTTTAAGTTGAGAGGGAAAAGAATTACAAATAAATCTATGTGCTTCTCTTCAGGGTTGAAGACGTGTACTTGGGTGTTTGTATAACGTGTAGGCAGTTTGCAAAGTTACTTGCATCCGTTTTATGAAGTGTGAGTGAGATTGTGTGTATGTAAATTCTGGTGTAAGTGTAAGTAACCATAAATTTTGAAATGTATTTTCCTTTCTCTTCTGAATGTGTTTTTAGTTATCATGTGATTTAGAATAATATTTGGTCCACCAAATGTATCACAACTTAACAAGTGGCACCGTGGCAGAGTGCTTATACAGAAAACGAAGTCTAGGGAAGCTTATAGAACCACAGTTACAGTTGACTAAGAAAACGAACAATTTGAAACCAAACATAACGGAACAGACCCATTCTTCTTGACGTTGATTTGGAGCCTATGTGACTTGTGTTCTTACCAAGTAATCCAAGCAATTGGGACTTCTTGTTTTGCAGTCGTCGTGTTTGACGTAACGTAAGAAATTGACAAAAACACAGAAAAGGTTGACGCATTAGAACACAAGGAAATTAGGAAACGAGGAAAACTATCTTACCAGAAAAGCTGCATCGAAACTATCGCTCCCTTCCTTTTTAAATAAGACTATTTAAGTGATTTTTTTAACAATGGTATTTGTCCATGATATTTACGGTTGGAAGTAAGTAATAACTAGTCTCTTCGAGGACTCTTAAATGAATGGTAGAGCTTACAAAATAAAATATGAAACTATAACTGTTAATTAAAATATATTAGGATACATGTATATTATTAAAATTTAAACTGAACAGTCATTTTTTCTCTCAAATGCACTCTTTAAATTTACAGAAAAATGAAAACTAGAATATATATTTTTTGATCATTAATAATAACTGAACCTAAATATACTAATTAAGAAATAAAATAAAAAATATATAAGAAAATATAATAGGTTAAAACACTAATTTAGTCCTTTATAATATTTGTTTGTTTCAATTTAATCCGACTTTAATTTTTTGTTTCAATTTAGTCCCTAATAATTTAAATTATTGCAATGTCAGATTTCCGTTCAAATTATGTAGACGAAGTTAACTGTTAGTCACGTGGATGCACACGTAGATGCCAAATTTTTTTAATGCATTTAGAGTTAGAACGGCCCGTTCTGCTGTTCTGGTTGCACACTGAGTGTGTTAATTTTGCATCTGGAACGGGCCGTTCTGGATGCAAAATTAACACATCAAGAGTGCAACCAGAACGGACCGTTCTGGTTTCAGAACGGACCGTTCTAGTTTCAGAACGGGCCGTTTTGGTTCCAAAATGCCAAACACAAACTCGATGATAATAGTCTTAGATCGTGGGGGTAATACTTATTTATATATTTGTAATATTAAAAATTTTACATATAATTTTTAAAAGTATAAATATATATTATAGTTATTTCTTACAAGTTTTTATATCTACAATTACGATTAAGGATGAAAATAAACTATGTCAGATTATGTTATATTATAATTTAACAGAATTAAACCTAATTTTTATTAAAAATACATGTTATTAATATGATGTATTTATCTGTCATAGACATTTTTTAAAATGTTTGGTTAGAACTACAATCTTAAAAACCTACTTAATAATAATTTAACACTAATAAAAACATAAAAATAAATATGTTAAATCTTATAAAAATCAAATTTAATTTATTTATCATATAAAGATGATTTTGATATGTGATATAAATTTTTACAATTTTGATTTTTTTTATCAACATATATAATAAATAGAAAGCACAAAAGTTTGACAAATATAAGATAAATGAATAATTCTTCGAAATATATATTTTATACATATGATAATTTATATATATATATATATATATATTTATTATTATATAATTTTTATTTTTTAAAATATATTATTTTTTAGATAAAAATTTTTTTATGTATGTGTAAATGGTTTGCCTTTGGTCTTTGAACCACATTGTGTGTTGGTTGGCGTTTTGGAACGATCCGTTTTGAATCCGGAACAGCCCGTTTTGGAAACCAGAACGACCCATTCCAATTTCAGAACGACCCGTTCTGATGCACTCGTTGGTGTTAAATAATACATTTGGAACGCCTGTTCCGGATGCAAAATTTACGCACCATGAATGCAACCAGAATGCATGAAAAAATTAAGCATCCACGTATACATCCATGTCCGTATCCAAGTGGCGTCCACGTCACTAGGAGTTAACCTCGTTTAAATCATTTGAACGGAAGTCCCAAATTGTAATAATTTAAATTATTGAAAACCAAATTGAAACAAAAAATTTAAGTGAGACTAAATTGAAACAAAAAAATATTATAAGAAATCAAATTAGATTTTTACCAATATAATATGTAATATCACTGTTAATTATTTATACATAAATTTTGACAAGTTTATAGATTAATATAGTCAAATCCAACTATCTCTTTTTTTCCCTTTCCCGATAGTAATGGACTAGGTCGGAATGATGCTACAACAATGACGCGGAAAACGATGAAAAACTGAATAGACGTGCTTTTGAAGTTTCTCCGTGATAGGTTAAACAAATTAAGACAACTCCTGTTGCTGCTATTTGTGAGTAGTAGCTACTAGCTAGCTAGGATGCGGACAGGTAGATAAGGTATCACCATATCATGCCTTCTCAGTTCTAATCGTGTAGAATTTCTTAAACAGACACACGATCGTTTCTGTCCTAACAGAAAACATGACATTTCAATTAATTGACAACAAATCAAAGATTAGTAGTACAGAAGCATTTATCTTGCTTTTCCTGAACGAAAATGCAGATTCAATGGACATGCAACAATCCCTAGCTGCTGAAACCGCAGGCAAACATGACACGGGAAAGAATTCAGCGTGGGAAAACAAGTTTTCACTTTCCAATCCACAATTGGCATATCAACAAAAATGAAGAATCAGGTAAGCAATAACGAAGAACATTCGCAATGAAAAGACAAATTACCCAGTTTCAGCACGTCTGAAGCAATAACACGAAGTCTCAGTTCAGGGATAAGACTGACAATAATTATGACTTATGAGGGAGTTCAATTCAGTATAAAAAAGGTAAACAACGTATAGCCCCTGATGAGTTTAAATGTTGCCTAGGTAAACATTGAGGCAAAGGTAAAGTAGCATATCCACGTGACCCAAGTAACTACTTAAAGATTTTAATGAAGGCAACCCAAACTATTGCACAGAAAGGTTCACAAAAGCAGCTCTGAAAGTGTTGTTAGGTGTTGAAAGATGGTGGGATAAAAAACGTTAAACAAAGAAATACTATTGAACTAATCAATAATGCATGACTTCCGAAATCAATGTTCTTGGATTAGTTACAACATTCTGATAAACATTCAAGTTTTTCATGAGCAAATTTTAATCATGAGTACATGCAGTCTCCGCTACACCTTTCTAATATTTCCTCACTTCGATTATCATCAGCCAAACATAATGCATAAATAATAAATTTCTACCGGGTGAGAAAATCAATGTCCTTTAATTATATAGAACTCTGACAATTATGCAAACTACAGATATGTAAATACAGAGGATCTGAACTTATGGTAGCTAATGAGTGTATTGTTTCAACAAGTATAAACAACATAGACAACCTGTATGAGACACTATATACAAAAGATATTACAGTATTCGCAGGAGATAAAATAAATCTTTTTTTGGTTGTTCGGGAAGGGGCTAGGGAGAAGAGTTGAATTTCACAAAATCCCATTCTAACATTAACACCTGTAAAATAAACACCTACCCAAGAGCTACACATGACACAGGAAACCATTTTCCAGTAATCCTCATAAAATGAGTTCACCTGCTAAAAGCATCTTATAATAAACTATGTACTTTTCCTCCTTATGTGATGCAATACAGCAGGGGATCCTTCAAATAAATCTAATAGATAGGTCTCTAGATCCTCTGGTGTATACTTAATGTATTTGCCCGCATGCCTCCCCTCTAACTGACTCCTAAACCTCCCCACAAACGAGCGGTATGCAGGAATCACCTTCTCTGAAATGGATATCCGCATCTCCTCCCGAAGCTGATCATCGGGTACCTTCCAAGCTGTCTGCACCCTATAAATTTCTTCAAAACAAGCATTGAAACTCTTGAACCTCTCCTTCAAAGCCATCTTTGAAGCATTATTAGAGCTCCCTCCAATCCCTTCATCCTTCAAACAAGATAAGGCCTTGCTCCAAGAGGCCCTCAGATACCCTGTAGCATACTGGCGTATCTGACCACGCCGCTTCCTAATCCAGTCATCCCCCAAGACCTTCCCAAGATCCGAGTCCTTCACTTTCCGCACAAGGTAATACAAATTGTTCATCAAAAACACCTGCTGCATTGCAGCGTCTTCATAAAGCCTCGACTTCTCCTCAAGATTATACTCAAGCTCAGACATGAGCAACAGAATCCGCTGCCCCAAGGGGGACATAGCCTCCAACCGGGAACTATCGCCTCTGAGATCATTTTTAAATCGATAGAGATCCTCCTCACTGAGCTCCAAAAGCGAATCCATAGGGTCACCATAATCAACAAGCAACTTGAGGTAATTCATGACATAACGAGGCAAGGGATGAACATCCCCGGTTATGACCGGCTTCTTGGAGGTCTCATTCCTAATGCAATTCTCAAACTCAGCAAAAGTCCCTTTGGCAGCCTCACCAAGACCCCTCAACACTCCATTGGCCTCAACAATCACAAACTCGTCACTCACCATGGCCTGCAAATCAGGCATAGCATCCCTCAAAGCCTCATACATATCCAATATCCTAAACAACTTCTCGGGGGAGCGCTTACAAATAGCAATAGCCTCCCCGAAGTTCAGCAACTGCATCACACACCCCTTAGCAGTCTCATTGAAACAAATCTCCTTCAAATCATCCACATCACCAAACAAACTATCACACAGCCTCTTCTCCCCACTCAGCAAAACCCCTACAACAACCTTAACAGCCTGAACCCAATTCTTCATCTTCTCATCCAAACTCCTCCACTCAACCTTCTGAACCTCCTCAATACTCAACCTCTCAACACCGAGAATAACCAAACACTCATCCAAAGCGTCACGACGGACACTACTATAAACCTGAAGACACTCTCTCTCGTAACCAGACCTAAACATGCGATCGATGATTTCTCTTAGGTCTTGCACCGCTTCGGGACGCACCAAATCGACGAACAAA